GGGGGGGGAAATCACATGCATGTGTGTTACTATGGAAAGGAGACACTTTGGCCAAGCTCTCTGGACACAATAGCAACTGGCTTGTAGAAATCCATCACAGTTCATCTACTTCCCATCCAAGAAGGCTTAGCCAAGGAGCAGAAAAGCCTACAAAAATCGGGTTAACAGTCTCTTATCTTTGTGGGTACCTTTAGAGTCCATAAATAGCTATAAGCGTCAGCACATAAGAACCATACGTTGCAGGCCAAGAACAATTACAAAATCTTAAAAGGAATCCTATGGTGAGACCTCTTGCTGTAAATATGCCGGCTGCCATGGTGATCGTCTCACTTCAGTACTTTAAAGTGACATAAAGTAAAAAAAAAATGTTTCCCTCCCCCCAGTGTTAATGTCAGCACTTACCTTAAATTATGTCTCTTAATCCGATTTTCTTTCCTGTCCTTTTCAGCCTTCTCTCCAGCGCTGCGGCGGGTGTCCGATCCAGCGCTGACTTCTCTGTCCTTGCTGGCAGTTCCGATCCCACGGTGTCTGCATACGGGTGCACGCGTCCATAGACTTACCTTGCGTCTCCCGGCCGAAAAAAACGAACTGCGCATGCGCCTGCCCCAGGAGGCTTTGCGGCCACCCGAGCAGTTTTGGATTCTCGGACGGGAGCGCGCGGCAAAGACGGGGTAAAAGTTTAGAAACCCTTTAAGTCTGTGACATAAAAAAAAAGAACTTCTGATATTCCTCTAACTTTTCCCACTAGTATACCTATTCTGTGTCAATGACAAAAGCCAACCAGACAACAAACGGGGTATAAAGACCATCACCGGAGGAAGAAAAAAAATGCTAACGGTGGGGCTGGGGCTGCGACTGCACTGCAAGGATGAACTGTTCTTTCCTGTCTAGGGTAGCCATGTAAAAGTCTTTGACTTAGCTGGTACCGGCTCCCCTGGCAGTCCCTCAGCATCCTCACTTACAATTCACAGCTGCATAGTACACAATGACGTCAGCAGGCCTATGACTGCCAGAGCAGAAGGGGGAAACAGGCTGTAGGAGCCAGTCAGGTAAATTAAAGTCCTATACAAAGCTCCCCTTACATAAAAGATTGGTTAACCCTTGCAGTGCAGAGCTAACTGATATAGTTAGGCTTTAAACCTGGAAATTAAAAATTGGATTGAAAAGTAATTAACATGTTAAGAGGTATGACATTTTAGTCTGTGGGTTTGCAAATACTTTAAAAAAATAAAAGTCAGCTGACACTGAACAGTGATCTACCTTTATAGACCTGGCAGCCTTGGAAACAGCTTCAAACTATTAAAAGCCATGATAAATAATACAAATATGTATATTCTTGTAAGAGTTTCAGTGATTTTGTTACTACCATTAGTTATGACAATTCTTTGTGTACATATACATTGTGGGTGAAATACTACACTGTGTAGTATTGCGACCAGTAGGTTACAAAGGAATACTTATGAGCTTTTAATAATAAGACCCCCACTAGGGTCACACTCACCAGATGAGCAGCAGCGAGCCGGTGTCTACTTCACAGGGATGCTGAACCTCACCGGTCCCACGTGCTGTGGAAGACTGAAAACCAGCGAGAACACAGCACAAGCATAGAGCGCCCCCTCGCCTCACATCCGGGCATGTGCAGGCACTGAGCTTAGCACGACCCGAGCGCCTGTCACCCGGAGAGGAAGACAATGCGCGGGGAAATGCGTGAGCAGCAGGCGACTGAAGTAATATACATATAACACCCAATCACTGTAACACAGCTACATTGTCTGTGCAATACTATTTTCTTAACCGCCCTTGACACGCTGACAAGAGCACGGCACCCCATGTTTTACACTGCGCGCGAAGCACGGCAGTCACGTGCTGACGCCGTTTCTCGGACTTGTCAGAAGGGAGGCTGTCGCACAAGTTTCACGTCACCTGGGCGCCGCACGTGTTGAACAGCTGCTTAAAGGAGTCGCGCGCGGAGAAGAGCTAAGCTGGTGAGAAGTGCGTGCTGAGGTGAGTGTATGAATGGAGTTTATGCACAGTTAGGAAACTGCTTTCCCAGGAGTAAAGCCTCAAGTATGACTGAGGGGAAGTTGGGGAGTGGTGGTGGAGGACACCGGCATGTGCTGTAGGACATTGCTGCTCTGCCAATATTCTCTTTTTGCACGAAGAAGGCTCCCCCCCCCTTTTACACCATCTGCCTAAACGTTGTTTAAAAGCGGAACTCTTGGTTATTTTACAATTGGGTGTTTATTGAACTAATTCGGGTGTAGTGTCAATTGTTTGTGCTTTACAGCGGTGTCTATAGGATCCCATTCTGTATTCCCCAGCGGGCGGGGAGGAATGGGCCTCCTAGATACAGCTGCTGCAAAGGCCAGTTTCTTGACTCAGTTGTGATGTGCAAGGTTTGGCCTTATGACAGGCATGTTTTACAAAGGTCACATCTATGTGGAACTCCTGGCAAGCGCATAAAAATAAATCTACAGATCAAAATGGAGCTGAATGCAAAGCGTGAAGACTTTCTGTGGTAGTACAAATGTCTACATATCTTAATTGTGCCTAAGCATTATCTTGCAAAATATACCCTTTCTCTGGACTTCCTCCTGCGAAATAGCAGAGTAATTCCTGGTATATGGGGGTGTCTAGGCACCCCCTATACCTACAGTCTCGTAGCTTTGTAGCTACAGTGTGAGATTGAAGGCACTGCTGTCTCTGGCTGATCGTATCATAACATTTCGACTGTGATTTGGTAATGTCACTACTGTGCTGTCCCATAACTCCCAATTTGAGAACTTGAAAAAGAGGGACGGGAACCTGCGGCACTTGTAGCATGGTTAAATGCCCCTGAATATCAGATGCGGCCTGGCAGTATGTGCTTAGATCATTGCCCGCTGCAGGACACAGGCTGGATTTTGTTTAAATCCCAGGACAGCCCTGCTGAAAACGGGATGGTAGAGAGGTATGCTGCTCACTCTTCTTGCTGGATGCTTGGACGTGAAGAAGCTAAGCCCTGCCTCTACCAAGATGGTTGCCTCCACACAGACACTGCAGAAGAAGGCATTGTAATCCGGAAGCTTGAAAGATAAGCTACAGGAGGTCACAGGTAGTACTGGTGACTTGTCCTTTGCTCTCTGCCTGCTTAGGAGGCCAGTGCACCTGCTGAATGCCTAAACCAGCCCTCATTTTACAGCGGAGATCAAAGACAAAACTGAATGAGACAGTTTAAATGGCTCTAGCATGTGAGGTCACTGCAATGGCTAATTGTAGTGACCACATGTGTGAACTTAACTAGTACTATGCAGCCAGCCCTCCTCTTTCCACTCGGATCATGACAGAGGAGAGTTGTGCTGCCAATCCTGTCACTGGTACATTGCATAACTGTAATAACGAGTCACCAGTGAATGCATTCTAAATTATACATCAGATGCTAGAGCAGGGGTAGCCAAACTCTGGCCCTCCAGCTGTGGTGGAACTACAAATCCCATGAGGCATTGCAAGATTCTCACAGACTTGACTCCCGGAGAGAGATGCATCATGAGATTTGTAGTTTCACCACAGCTGGAGGGCTGGAGTTTGGCTACCCCTGTGCTAGAGAATGCATAGTATTATGGTGGTAACCAGCCATCAGATCCAGATTTAACCCTGTGCCTGCTCGGAATTTACCAAAAACACATGCAGCCATCATCCGTTTTGTCTTTACTTCTCAGTCGTTATCTGGCCTGTGTGACAATCATTTAAAGGGGTTCTAAAGCCTCCCCTTTTTTTGCCTATATCTACTGCTAACAAGCAGTAGATGTAGGCAAAAAAAAAAAAAACGCTTAAACAGCGTTTTTAGACCTTATTATCGCGGCGAGAGTCCGGAACTGTTCGTGCGGCCGCAAAGGATCTTGGGGCGGGCGCATGCACAGTTCGGATTCTCGGCCGGGAGATGAGCAGAGACGCAAGGTAAGCCTATGGACGCGAGCACCCGCTGCAGAGTGGAGTCAGCGCTGGATCGGAGAGCCAACGCACCGCTGGAGGGACAGATGAAAACATGGGGAAAGAAGAGGAAGATCGGATTAAGAGACATCTTTTAAGGTAAGTGCTAACATTAACATGGGGGGAAGGGAAAAGAATTATCCTTTAATGTCACTTTAATTTGGTCATGTTGCGGTCAACTGTGTGTAGTGTAGTTTTTCCAGACTTGATTGCCTGGCAAGATTAATTTTTTCAGCGTTTGGCTTAATCGCCTGGCAAGTATAATTTTTCCATCCCAGCCTTGATCTGGTGATTGTCAACTTTTTTTTTTTTCTAATGCGCGAATGTCCAAAATAACATGGTGTCCATGACACATGAGAATAGCTTGGATTTTGATCCTAACTGAACCAGCAGAAAACCGTGGCTCTAGCATACACCTGCTTCTGAAGATGAAGCGGTCCCTGAATAAACAGCCAGATGTATTGAACTACCTAGCACAAGCAGTGTGGTTTATCCAAGAAAGATGCCTGAAGCAGACACCATTAGTGTGTTGTAGTAGACAAACACTTTCCCAAAGAGCCCGTGTTCCTGCTGCTTCTGAAAATCCAGTGTATGTAAACCCCCCCCCCCTACATTTTGAAGCACCAGTCATCCACCTTGTTTACAGCCCAACCTGGCAATTCTTTATTTTTTTTTCCATCAAGTTTTCACTGATGAGCTTTTAAATTGTATGTCCACCTTTGCAGTCAAGTTTGAGAACCCCATCTATATGTTCATTCCCATTCACACCGCATACCTAAAAACATTTTCTACCTTTTTTGTTTTTGGAGGAATAGTTGCTCAGGTTAAACGTGTCATTTTTAGTTTACAAAGGTAAAGATGGCCAGTTGGAGCTGCCTGAATGTCCATATTACCTTGGTATCAACAGAAGGATAGTGTGGGACCTGATTCAGGGAAATCACCCCATCCTTGATAATTTTTACTCAAGCATTCCATTTTTTAGAAACCTTTTTCTGAAAACAGTACTATGGCTTGTGGCCATATATTATGGCCTCTGTAAAAACTATAATTACATTTTTTTAAATGCATTTAAAAGATAACTGGGGTAACCTTTTTATCCTATAGTTCTGTTTAGGGTCACAGGAGTACATACAGGTGAAACTCTAATAATTAGAATATCGTGCAAAGTTCATTTATTTCACTAATGCAACTTAAAAGGTGAAACTAATATATGAGATAGACTCATTACATGCAAAGCAAGATAATTCAAGCCGTGATTTGTCATAATTGTGATGATTATGGCTTACAGCTCATGAAAACCCCAAATCCACAACCTCAAAAAAGTAGATTATTACATGCAATCAATAAAACAAGGATTGTACATAGAACAATATCGGACCTCTGAAAAGTACAAGCATGCATATGTACTCAGTACTTGGTTTGGGCCCCTTTTGCAGAACTTACTGCAATTACTTTTGCACGTTATTCTAATTATTCGAGTTTCACCTGTATATTAACCTTCTCCAATGACCAAATAGCCCGCTATATACTGAGAGCGCTGCAGCTGGTATGGATTCTGACAATACTGGTGAGATCTACCCAGTTGGCTGATGGACAGTGGTTCTGCCTATCTAGAAGCAGAGCCAGTTGTGCCCTCCCTCATCCGTTCGTCCAGTCAGCGCTGGAGGATGGGGGGGGGGGGGGGGAGAATCCCTGCGGGGAGTAGTGACTGGTCACTCACCTCATAGATCTCCTTTTAAGTATCATAACTATTAACAAAATGTCTATGTATCGCTCAGTTGTAAATCCTCAAATCATCTCTGAATTCATGCTGACACAGTCCTTCCTTCTGGAGGGTGGCTACTTGTTCCCCATACAATCTCCATACAAATAAGTAAACTAAACGTGAGATTGTAGTCCATCACAGGAGCAAGGTTTTTGTTTTTGTTTTTTCTTTTATGGTCAGTCAAACTATCACAGCAATTAAACTGAAAAAAGGCTAAGTAACATAAGGATATATGCAGGCTAGTACCCCAGTGGTTTAAATGTTTGTTTACTTGCCAAAGTATTTGTAATTTGAGGCACCCGTTCACATGTCGGAGACTCTACAGCCGGGACACCGATTTTGTTTTATCTTTCCACCCCTGCTTTATGGTCTCTATCTCTGTGATGAATTGTTGTAAATAAAGTTATTTTTCTAATTGCCAAAGTTTGGAAGTTCGATAAACTTTATGGATATTTGTGTCCCCCCAATATACATGGCCCCATCCTGCCCCGATCATCGCAAGGTTCAATTAGCGGTAGTTAAAAAAAACAAAACACATGGACAAATTGCATTAATCGGTCACATGTATTTTCGTTTGCGCATGAGCAGTGTTAATCGTACAAATTTTGACGTACGGAAACGCCACCAACCTTGCATAAAATCGTGGTTGTACAATTTGCAGTTGTACTCTGCCCATCAACATTACGAATATTGGACTAAAACACGATCACAAATGAAAATCGGCCGATAATAGTGAGGTGTATGGGCAGCTTTTAGATTTTCCAGGATTTTAAGAAAAATAAAATATATACATATCTCACTGGATTTTGGTATTTAAACAAATTTGAAAATGACCAAGGCTCAAATAGAAACATGCAAATGTCATACGAAATAGATAATGATGTCTAAGTAGCCTATGAATGACAATACTGTACATCCTCAATTTGTACAGTGGCAGAAGTCTATGGGCATCCATGGTAACTCTTCTCTTTATTACCATCAGAAATATTATCTGTAACAGGCTGCAATGCGTGGAAAGAAACCTTTGAAGAGAAGCGTTCCTGCTGAAGAGAGCAATGGTACACCTGAGGTTAAGAAGTCTAAATGTAAGTATGAGATCTGTGAGCAATATGTTTGTGTATGTGTGTTCATTCATAAAAGCAATAAAATGTTGAAAGCTTGCAGTCCAGTACAGCCATAATTCTGTAGCGTGTTCTTCCTTTCCTTGTGTGAAAGTAATTTTGGTTGGCCAGCCCTTGGGCTGTTATTAGAGTTGACATTTACAATGCTTAGTTCACACTTGTGTTCTATAAAACTGTGAGCCAGCTTTGATTCATATCTTTAAATCTTGCGCATGGCAACTTGTTTACTGCAAACTAACCTGGCTTTTTTTTTTAATGCTTTTGGTCAGCACATTATGAAAATGGTGTGCTGGATACATTGTTTTTTGGTGTTGCAATTAGTTAGGATGCAGCTCTCCTATGTTTGGCTACCCTAACTCTGCTGTTAGGCCTTATTCACACACAACGCAAGAGCAAAATTGTTTATTGCCTATATACGCGTACGTATGTGTGCACTATTTGCAATCCCACAATGCATCATTCGTAATAGAAATGTTAATGAACTGTACGTGCGTATATGCACGTAATTACGCAGAAATACGCTGCCCGGGCGCATCTCGGTTCCATTCGGTTTTTGTGCATTTTTAGCTACGCAAATATACGGCTCCATACGCAGCTATGTGTATCGAGCGATTTATTTGCATATAGTACTATACGCATGTGAATGAGGCCTTAGCCTTGCTCGATATTATACAAATAAAACAAATTCTTGAAAAAATTTACGGCTCCAAATTGCTATAATGGTCTTGTGTTAACTGATGATTCCTCCAGATTTATTTTTATTACACGCATAGTGTAGAAACCTAAATTTAACTTGATATCTACAAGGTATGAGGAATGCATAGGCAATGGGGCTGACCAGAATTTAGCTACCCATTGGTGCTGATTCAGGAAGTGCCAGGTTGTTGAGATTTAGTAGTGGAAACAGAATTGTGTAGGATCTGCTATATCAAACTTGTGTGAAAGGTAGATGTTCATAAAACGATGGCAAAAAAGTGTTAGACTAGATAGACCAGCATAGATATAATCTTCCCTAAGCCTAAGGTGTGTATTTGCAGTGATAGCTGGCATTGCACCCGATTCTGAAAGACCGCTCCGGGTGTTGGTGTATGCTTTGTAGATATTGAGGGGAATTCATAATTGCAACCAGTCAGCATCTGTTTCTTTCAAAGGTTGAGTTGAACAAACTAAAGAGAAGCTGACTGCTCCACACTCCAGTTTTCATGTCTTCCCCCCCCCCCAAAAAAAAGTCATGCTGAGGCACGTATTTTTAAAGTTGACCTTTACCCCCTTAGACTAAAAATCACATCAGCATACAGCTCCGCTTGAAATCATCTTGCATTTATTAGCTAAACAAACATATTTTTATTTTACTTACAATTTCTTTTTCCGCTCTCCAAGCATTGCAACCTGGGAAGGTTACATCAGCAGAGCAATGCTGGGAAATCTCATTTGTGATCTCAGGGAAAGGCATTTTGCTCCCCTGAGATGATGTGCATGGTTACATGTGCCAGAGTTCTAGGAAGTAAAGGGAAATCTAGTAACCTGCCCTTTGTTATAATGGCCACTGCCAAAAGACTGGGGAAGAAAAATAAAATGAGGTATGCAAAAAATAAAAACCTGGCAAAGTATGCGTTTGTAGCTTGTCATTACTAAACCCTTCCAAAGGTGTCCTTGTTTGCTTATTAAAGAGGAACTTTACCCATATCTTCAAAATAACAAGGTTGCTAAGTAGATGGAATCATTTTGCACTGTTCAACCTTGCTGTATTTAAAGCATGTACCATGGCTTAGCTAAGCAAGGTTGAAATGTTAAGTCTGTCAATATTACAATAGATTGAGTTTTAAAAGTAGTGTACTGCTAGCTGGTGATGCAGACCGCATATTAAAGGTCTATGTAAACCTTAGATATAGCTGACCTGCAAAGGTTCACTGTTTCCTTTGGTAACTGTTTAGTGAGTATCTGTCTACCTTTCCATTTGTCTGGCTTCTGTTTTTGTGGGGGTTTTTTTTATATTGGTTCTTCATGCTGGACACTATAAGGCTGGGTTCACACCAGGCGCATCGAATATGCGCGTTTCGTGCCGCGATTCGCAGTTAAACACCCACGTGACAAGCGCGTGTTTCCGAGGGCTACCTGGCTGTATCCCAATGGATACGCGCTGCAAATACGCCCCAAAGAAGCTCCTGTACTTCTTTGAGCGTAGGGCATTTTGCAGCGCGTTCCTACACGCTGTAAAATGCCCAGGTGGGAACCATGCCAATAGGCAATCATTGGTTTTCACATGTTGAGCGTTTTACAGAGCGTAGGAACGCGCTGCAAAACGCCCAGGTGTGAACCAGGCCTAACCTAGACATCTTAATTGTTTACATGCACAATAGGGGATTCTGTAATACCCATGCCTTTTTGGAGCACATTTGCCAGAAATTCCTAATTGGCTTAAAGTTTTCTCTGCTCATGTGTTGTGTGTGTGAAAAATGTCATCTTATGCCAGGGCTGGACAAAGCCTAGACGCCAGGTAGCCAATACTCCTTAACACCTTCCCGACTAATAATGGAATTATTCTTTCAATTTTTCAATTGGTAAAAGACCGATGATGAATGAGCGCTGATCTGTTTTTCTTTTTTGTTTTGTTTTTTTAATTAAAGTAAAATATATGCATATGTCACATCAAATTAAAGCCCATTTTGTCCTTTAAAAACGGTATATAATATGTGTAGGTGCAATGAATGAGGAAGATGGAAATTGGTTAAACAAACACATGGCAAAATTGCTTTGCTCCCCAGGAACGAAAACATTTTCTGAAGCTGTCACTAAAGGGTTAATTGCAGCTGACACCTACATTTTAAGGGGTTTTTGTTTTGGTGTGGGGTGTTTTTTTGTTTTTTTTGTGAAACTGCCTGCCAGAATCAAACAAACTGGATTGGCCAGACTGGCTCCCGAATTCCAAATACATTTTTCTATCCGTCTTATGCAGTTTTTGAGGCATTCATCATTCAGATTAAGGAGAAAAACACACTGGTAGATCTGTATAGATATGTTGATTTTTGTTTTTGTCTTGTTTGTAATTACTATAAGGTGTAATCGAGAATATTGTGGGAATCCTCCAATAACTGACATGTTCTCTGCTCTTTGATTCCAGAACTAATGGTCATTACATTGTATTTTGCTTTTCAGTGGTCCATCATGACTCCCACCATACTGTTGGTGGTTTGGTGCTTACCCTTGGACAAGGTGATGTGGGTCAGTTGGGCCTTGGAGAAGATGTGATGGAAAGAAAGAAACCAGCACTGGTGCCACTCCCAGAACCAATAGTACAAGCTGAGGCTGGAGGAATGCACACAGTTTGTCTTGCAGTATCTGGCAGTGTGAGTTTATTCAACCCACTTTAGGAAGTTTTAATAATTATTTAACTCTTCCTAATTTACAGGTATCCACCTTTGTTATAGCTGTTTTATCTAGTCTCTCCCTCTCCTATGACTTCACAGATTTATACATTTGGCTGTAATGATGAAGGAGCACTAGGGCGGGACACATCAGAAGAGGGTTCTGAAACAGAACCCGGGAAAGTCCAATTGCCAGAAAAAGTTGTACAAGTGTCTGCGGGGGACAGCCACACTGCTGCATTGACAGAAGATGGGAGGGTATTCCTCTTTGGATCATTCAGGGTATGCAACCTCATTTTTTTTTCAGCCATTCACTTGACCCTAACATACATGTATATCCCTTTTTTCTCTAGTCACCTTCCAGGACAGCATTAGAGAGATAGGCTCCTCCAATGGTTGCCTCATATTTTATTTTCCTGTTTTCCAATAGGATAACAATGGTGTTATAGGATTGCTGGAGCCTATGAAGAAGAGTATGGTTCCTATACAAGTCCAAATAGATACTCCAGTAGTGAAAATAGCATCAGGTGAGATGGCTAAAAGGGCCCAACATTGCTTTACCTTAGTTTAAGCTTGAAATATACAAAGCCTTTACCATTTTTTACACAAGTAGTAATTGTAACCCCTTCAGGACTGAGCTTTTTTCAGTTCCTGTTTGTTATTGACACTTTTTACATTTTTTTGGCTGTGTGATTCTTCCACGGCAGTGATATACTTTCTTACTAACTGCATTAACACTAATACATTATATGTGTGTGTGTGTGTGTGTGTGTATGTATGTACATGTATTTGTTTTAGTACAGATAGGCGCAAATACTGTATGTTATATAAATATATAGCCCTAACGCCTCACTTAGTAAGAATAACAAGAATAACAAAAAAGGAAAACACCTAGAAAACCACTTTTTCCCCATTTTTCATTATTAGATTTTGAAAAATGGCACAACTAAAAAAAAAAAATGCATTAAAATAAATGTATTTGTCCTTTATTTGAAAACACCTCACATCCCTAGGATTTTGGAAATGTTTCTGTACTTTTTAGCCTAAAGCTAATAGTGGTTAGGTGGCCTACAATGTCACTGTCATTAAGTGTCACTGACTGCCACACTTGGTGACATGCATTGAACAACGCCGCCATGAGGGGGTAAAATAAAAAATTAACTTTTTTAGGGTGAAAAACAAATCTGCCGCTCAGCTACAGATTTACATTGTAAGGAGTTCATTTTTTAAAATAATAATTAGTGCTGAGAGAACTTTTCATTTTGTTAAAAAAATATATATTTTACGCTTTTTTTTTTTTTAAGTAGTCACTATGACTGCTTGACAATTTTAATAGTTTTTTTTATTATTTGGCTGCTCCAAACTTGGGAACATCCCATAATAATCTTAGGCCTGGTCCACACCTGAACGTTTTGTAGCGCGTTCAACGCTCGACGGACGCTCTACAAAACGCTCAAACATCTAAATCCCATTGTATTCAATGGGTCTGGTTCACACCTTGCCGTATTTCCGCCCGTCCGAACGCGATACAAAACGGCCTATGCCCAAAGAAGTACATGTACTTCTTTGGGGCGTTTTGGTCTCGCGTTTCCATTGGGATACAGCCAAGTAGCCCTCGGAAATGGGCGTTTGTCGCGTGTTTTTTTACCGCCAATCGCTGTAAAAACGCGCAACAAACGCGCATATTCAATACGCCTAGGTGTGAACCCAGCCTTAGTGATACTGGACCTGACATGCTGATTCTGCAGCGTGTCAGGACCAGATCTGACCAAAGGCTTTTGATCCCAGACTATCGGAAGCCGTGAAACACTGTTTCAGCATAGAAATATATTGTTACATATTCTGTGCTGAAGAATGGAACAAGCAGCCTGTACACATTGGGAAGTCCTGATCTCTATAGAGCTGTCAAAACTGAAGTAGCAGAGCAGTGTGCACACCATTCTGCTTTTTCAGCTGTCAAATACAGGGGATCTGATTTTGCGAACCGGTGTCTGGAACAGCTTAATTCTTTCATTAATGGACGCCTCAATATGGTAGCATCTATCAGTGAACAGTAACCGTTGATTCTCGGTGGTTACCGGCATTCCTGAGTCCCGAATAGCTGCTGGTGTTCAGTGTACGTGAGCATTCATTTGGGCACTTCATGATGGAGACGTACAGTGTTCGTCTCCAGTTGCGAAGGGGTTACAGTAGAACTCTGGACACCATGAAAACTGTTCAGGTCAGCAGCTAGATAGATAATGAAGCAGGGTCATGGATTAGATCCCTGGAGCATTAACCTCCTGGAAGAGGCCAGCTATGGCAGCTCCCTATATTTCCTTGACAGATTTCCGTTTTAGCAGTTCTTTCCTCCATTTGAAGTCTGTGGCGTAACAAGCCATAGCAGCCCACACGGGTTCTATGAGTACTAGGATAGGAGAGGGCCCCCATTAGGGAGGCTGTTAAGATAAAACTAAACCATTTCAGTATAGACTGGCTGAAGTCAGACCTCAGGATCATTTAATAGTCACGTTTGCTTATCTGTTTGTGTAAATGTATTGTCCTTTGAACTTCTGCTACAGACTGAAATTAACCCAGAATAGCTACTGCAGTAAAAAAAATCAATTTTCATCTCTGCTGAGTTTATAGGGCAGCTGAGTTTTATAGTTTACAAAAAGAAGCTAGAGTTTAAAAAAAGTGTATTGGGCATATACTGTAGAGTAACTGTATGCAAGTGCGTTAATAATTTTGTCGCTCTCAGGACTTCCAAATTTCTATCCACACTTCTCTGTTCGTAACGAGCTCCATGAATGCTTGTCCAATCATCAAGGTGAAGCTGCATGATATGTTTATTGATTCCATTGGTGAAGCTATACCGCCGATGGTGATCTATATACATCGGGATGTGGGGAACAGGGACAGCTGGGTCGTGTACCTGAGAGATTTACCAACCGTGGAGGACGCAAGGGCTTAGGTTTGGAGATTTGTGTGAATTTCAAATTGTTGCTGTGAATCCTGTTCTAAAGAAATGAAAATAACTTGGGGTGGGGGTGAAGGGAACGGAAGCTGCACTTCAAGTAAATTCACTGTAATGGTTTACTATAACACCAACACACTGGAACATCCACCTGGGCTCCTTCCTCTACTCGTGCTTATTTGTATGCTCCTGGTTCTTCCTATATTGATTGCATTGGAGGACAAGTTGAAAGGGAACCTTCAACTGATGTAATTTGCCCATGGGATGTTAAAGTGATAATAAAGCTTCCTTCTTTTTTTCTTTTCAAGTATTTGGTACAAGGAGGCACACCTTTTTTGTCTGAGGCTGTTGCTGTTTTTCTTTAAAGGTTTTTTTTCAATTCCTCATGTTCAAGTGGGTCCCCGCAGCGCTCTCACCCCGCCCCCTGAACAGGTGCCTCCATTGGCTAATGTGCCTCGTCCCTCCTGTCTGCCCACCAGTTCGATGGCAGAAGGAGCCCATGGCTCCTTTTGCCGTCAGTATCCTTCTCACTCCCTCAAGTTTGAGGGAACGAGGAACACTTCGGGACCCGGCGGCGGGGACAAGTGTTGCTGACAGGTAAGTGGGTGGGGTGACTGGACTGGGGGAGAAAAAGGTACAGGGCGGTATTTACCCCAATGCAGGGCATGCATTAAGGTAAAAAAAAGCCCAGACCTTAATACTACTTTAACTTTAAGCAGACCTGTGGCTTTTCTTGTTCAAAAGAAGCAACTGTACAACCGTTTTCTGTAATTTATGGCACTTTAGGGAGAAGCACAAGCTGCTCAAATTAACTCTTGGAGCAATGGTTAAGGCGCATTGCAGCGGTGCCAGAGCTCCTGAAAGCACACTTATTTGACTTGCTTCTAAGTTTGATGCTAGTGTACATTACCCTCCTCCGCAAACCCCCCCGCCTCATCTAAGCCTCCCTCCACCACAGCCTGGTGCGTTATGTCCAGACTCCTTTCCATGTTGGCTATGCTCCTCAGTGTTGCCAGTTTTTTGCTTAGATTCAGAATCTGGGCTTCCAAACAAACTCGCTCACATCTGGCGCAAATGTATTCCCCCTCGAACGCCTGTTCGAGGAACGCATACATTGCACATGATGTGCACCGGGTTTCATACCCACTCATGGAAGACATTATCCCCTTTTTTTATTTTATTTTTTTTATTCTATTTTTCTGTCAAGTAACAGCACTGGGGTTATTTTAATTTTATAGAAGTCCTTAGTTTAATTTAATTTACCCCGTGGCTAATTTAGTTTCATTTAGTTTCACTACACCCTGGGGTTAAGTTATTATGCTACAGCTCTGTGGTTTATTACTCTTTGGTCCGGTGGTTTATTACGCTAATGCTCTTGAGGGTTGGTTCCGCTACTGACCTGGGTTTTACTTTACTTCCATTATAGCCCAAGGGATATATTTAATTGCACTATGAGTCTATGGTTATTTTATTGAAACCCTTGAGTTCTTTCAATTTTTTTAAACTCTGGGATTAATTTACTTTCACCCTGGCCCTGGGGTTGTTTACGCTTAATTACACTAAGGCCCTGGGGTTGATTACGCTTAATTACACTATGGCCCTGGTGTTGCTTAATTTGCTGTCCTGGGGTTAAGTTAAATTTAAGTTACACTAAAAATACATTCAAATACCTTTTTAAAAGAGAACAATGGGGTAAGTGTTTTTTCCCCTAGTTCTCTTAAGGGTCGCGGAGAGGACATAATCTAGCGTCCTCCCATGACTCAAATCTCAGTATATCGCAAGCTACAGCTCATGGTATACTGAGACCGCTACAGCCGGGACGGATTTCGACAATGCTGTTGAGATCCACCCAGCTGCGTGAATGACAGCGGGCTCTGCCTATCTAGAAGCAAAAACCAGCTGTACCTCCCCCCCCACCGTTCCTCCAGTCAGCGCTGGAGGATCGGGGAGGGGGGAATCCCTGCAGGAAGCCGTGACTGACGGTCACTGCTCTCTGCAGGGAGTTGATCGAGAAGTGAGCAAGGGACGCTATGCATTCGCTCACTCCTCGATCTATTGAACCGCATAGTTCTCCAACTATTAACAAAAATGTATCTTATTTGTGTGTCGGCTGTAGATCCTCAGATCATCTCTGAATTGGTGCCGACACTGTCCTTCCTTCTGGAGGGTGGGTACTTTTGTTCCCCATGGTCCCTGTGTGTGTTGTAAAGTAGTCACCGCTCCAAGCTCACTCCTGTGATGGGACTACAATCTCTAAACAAATTAAAAAAAACTAAACCTGAGATTGTAGTCCATCACGGGAGCGAGCTTGGAGCAGTGGCTGCTTTACAACACACACAGGGACCTTGGGGAACAAAAGTAGCCACCCTCCAGAAGAAAGGACAGTGTCGGCACCAATTCAGAGATTAATTGAGTATCTACAGTTAAGCAATAAACAAATTAGATAGTTTTGTTAATAGGGTACATTTAAATACATTTTTAATATTTAAGTCCTGAGTTTATTGTCCCATTTTAAAAGGAACCAATCATTCAAATTTCTGCTTCATCTAAATCAGTGTGGTGCTAATAATGACTACAGAAAGTGTTTAAAGTTGATGAATTCGGCTCAAAAGGCCGCACTCTACATAATTACATATATGTGACTTGTCATACATTTAAGACACATTGATGAGATGGGTTGCATTATACATTATTATACACTATACATGTGAACAAAATAATTTCCTCATCCTTAGACTGCTTATTCGAGAACATTGTTGAGCACTATTTATATGAGTCACCTTTTACCTTTTAATTTTAGTATACTTTTACTTTATCTGCTACAGAGAGGCTGCTAGTTCCGCAGTGCATCCGCCTTAAGGTGAAAGGTTGCGGACGAGTTGAGTTCCGAGATGTTTTCTGTGGTGCTTATTTCACATTTGCGGTGTCACAGGAAGGCCATGTTTATGGATTTGGCCTCTCAAACTACCATCAGCTGGGTGAGTGGATTATTTATCTTGCCATCTGTTCTCTTTAGCTTTTAATATTCCTTTTATTTTTAAACTCTAATTCCAATGTGTTTTTGAACTACTTTTCTCCTCCCCTTTTTTTTTTTTTTTTTTTTTTTTTTT